AAAGAGACGATTTTTTAATTAGCGGGCGAATTAATGGGGAAGCACTCTGCGCCGAGAAACCATTGAGTTTTTCATAGCGCCGCGACTTTCGTCGCAGCTTTTATTTTTTCATTAGAGAGATTAAGGGATGAAACGGGGGTTCTTGGGTGGGGAATTTAATTATCCATCGAAAAGTGATGGTTTCATCCCTTAATATTAATTAGGAGAAAAGAGACGATTTTTTAATTAGCGGGCGAATTATTGGGGAGGCACTCTGCGCCGAGAAACCATTGGGTTTTTCATAGCGCCGCGACTTTCGTCGCAGTTTTTATTTTTTCATTACAGAGATTAAGGAATGAAACAGGGGTTGAACGATGGGGAATTTAAACCTCCATCGAACAGCATTGGTTTCATTCCTTAATGTTAATTAGGAGCGGAGATACGATTTTTTAATTAGCGGGCGAGTTGTCGGGAGTCACTGCGCCGAGAAACCATTAGGGTTTTCATAGCGCCGTCATTTTCGTCGCAGTTTTTATTTTTTCATTACAGAGATTAAGGAATGAAACGGGGGTTGAAGGATGGGGAATTTAATTCTCCATTGAACAGTCTTTGTTTCATCCCTTAATATTAATTAGTCGGCGAATAAATCAACTGAAAAACAAAGTAAATATTGAGTACAAGGACAAAAGTCCCCCTTCGAACCTGTCCCTGTGACAGCGGAACTGTTACGGCCGAGTTACCCACGCACCCGACTCACATTCACCGACAATTCGACCGGGACGCCACCTTTCCCGCGGGGTACCAACTAACTTTACTTGGGGTCAGTCAAACCCCCGATCCGGGCCTCTACTCAAGTCTATCCTCTTTGGGCCAATTCTTGGTGAAGGCAAATATTTTGTCTGGCACTGCATGGAGTTATTTGATAAAGAGGATATCTATGATTTCTTCCTATCTCAACTGAAGAAATACTCTCGAATGATTGAATTCATGAGGAATGAATGCATTTTGTTAACACGCACAAAGGTGGCTAATCGTGATTCGAGGATTTCTAGTCTCAGGAAAGTTTTGAACATTGTATCGACGAATGATGAAAATGAAAGGATCCGTGGAATCGCCAGCCTTATGCTCATCGTGCAACACTTTCAAGAAGATATGACGCTCTTGTTTCAAGTTGTGGACGTATGTATTTATTTAAAAGTAATCTTCAATGTTTTCAATTTAATGTACTCTGTACTGATTACATTTATTGTAATGTTTACAGGGTACTACTTCTGACGAAGAACTAGAAACTAAATTTGGGACCATTTCTACCCCGCTGTTGATTGTGAAAAGTGAGAACATAAGATATTAATCTGATCTTAAAAACTTAGTGCATCCGCTAGAAAATTCTATCTAGTTCTATAGAAATTCTTATAAAAACTATTCATTCTCAGCCTATTCTCATGAAAAATTTCGCAGCTTCTCAATGAAAATATTCGACAGATAATTTGATACAGTAGATCAATAGAATTTTATTTCTTATAGAACTCATTGAATGAACGTGTTTCCCATAGGAATTTCATAGCTCAAACGGTCTAAATTTATTTGTTGGATTTTTTTTCTCAATGGACGTGGAAAAACGTAGAGTGAAGAAATATTGGAAAATTAATATCGACGAATTTTTATAGAAAATATTTTGAATAGAATAATAACTTGTAGAGTATATAATTCCAATCAAACATTTTCTGAAAGAAAGGCTAATAGAAGTTCAATCGGAATCCACTAAAATTTTCTCATTCGGATCTGACAGCCATATTTAATATTTTGATTTTTGATATTTTTCAGGAGAATCCCTATTCGATGAAAATGGAGAATTCTTTATCATAATTGATGGACAAGTTTGCATCGAGGCAGTCAGCCTTACAAGGTATATTCTGCCTCTTCACCAGTTACTTTGTCTTCAACCTGAAATATCCAGATCAGTTGGGGAAAACGTTGGAATTTCTGCAGAGGTAATTTTTCATATGAAAACTTGAACATTTTCATCGAAAAACTTGATGAATCCATTACAAAATGTTATTGAATTTCTATTGAACTCCCTATTACTTTTCTAAGGATTCAATGGAGAAGATCTACAGTTTATCTATACGCTTGTTTTGCATTAGAAATTTTTTATGGGAAATATTTTATGGGAAAATTCAATGGAGGTTGATTCGTCAATGAAACTCATTTCATTGAGATGTTTTCAATCAAAATTCCCGGAATCAAATTTTCAAGTTTTTTGTTTGATTTTTTTAATGAGAGGAGAAAAGAATCAAGTGGAAAATATTCTAAAAATTCATGTCTAGGAATCCCTATAGAAAATTCAATGAGAGAGTTTCTATCGAACATTCTCCATAAAAAAAACGTGCAGTAAAGATCAGAAATTCTTCAATGAAATCGGTCAAAAACTAATAGAATTCAATAGAATTTTTTATCGAATCTGCGATGAAATTTAAGTAAAAACTGAATCAAACTTTTTGTTGTTATTTTCCAGGGCTGTATTCGATATCAATCCTGAGGAGGGATCCAGACGAAAAACCGCGCAGAAAGCCAAGAGCCTGCTCGATGCCAAAGTGATAAAATGATCCAAGGATCTCTCATTTTACATAAACTAACGATTCTCATTTCCTTACACGGAGGCGAACGAAATGAAAGGATCCGATATTCCCATGTACACCACTTTTTTCTTTGTAGCATATTTTTATGAAAATGAATAAATAAATCGAAAATTTTAGATTTTGTGTAATTTTCTTGATTTAATTTTAGATACAACTTAGATAGTAAAATTCCAATAAAGTCGTAATTTTGACGGAAAAACTCGAAATTTCCTGAACAGTTGCGGTCTGATTTCTCAGTAAAAGTGTAGTAAATTTTTTCATATTATGTAACTTTCCAATTGTATACGCTCGTAAATTTCTAAATGAAAGGGAAAAATATCACAAAATTTCGGAATTTTACAGTAGTAATTATTTTTAAATTATCAAAGAGTATTGCAGATTTCTAAGAGAAGCGGAACTTTGCCCCTCATCCCCATGAGAAATTTCCGAATCGAATAGTATTTCCTCAAGCGGTAGTGTTTGGCATTTCCCAAATGTTTTGGAAAATTCTATTTCAAAGCGAAACTTGCTCCTCATCTCTATGGGAAATTTCCTAACCCAATAGTATTTCCCCGAGCACCAGCGCTTGGTATTTTCCGAACTTTTTGGAAAATCCTGATTCGAAGGGGAACTTTGCTCCTCATCTCTATGGGAAATTTCCAAATCGAATAGTATTTCCTCGAGCGCCAGCGCTTGGAATCTTCCAAACGGTTGTGGAAAATTCTAACCGACCGTACAGAAAATCCCCACAATCTTAAGCGGGAAATTCCCTATAGAATCCCCTAGTGTTAACTGCTTCCAAACTTTTTTGGGAAATTTCTCACAGAAATTTCTTACAGTGTAACTGCCCTGGGTTGGTGTCACGGGCACTAACCGCAGTACGAATTCCGGCCAACAGAGGCGGGCTATGATTGGCGGAGGTTTTGGCACATCAAACGTTGGCTTCGATGGCGCCACCGAATGATTTCGGGGAATTCAAAGCAAAAATACTCAAACTCTAATTATTCGATACGTAACTTTATAAAATAGGCTAATGATTAATCTGAGCCGAACTGGTGGACGTTCGGAAAATTACTGCGGATTTTTGGCTCCTCCTACGGGTCGGTTCTCCTGGATTCACGGGGTTAAAAGACCGATACTCCTAACTAATTCTCCTAATTTTCCAAAACTCTAAGCAACCTGGCAATTCACGGGATACAAGGGTTGCACTTGTTCCACGTGACCTTCCACCGAAAAACTAAAACGTAACCAGTTAACCACCGTAAAATCCATTATAATTTGGAGCGCCGGAATTTCAGCCGGACCTAATCGATTTGCCGTAAGATTAACACTAGGGTGGTTCCCACAAAGGTTATCGGATGACTCTAAAATTCAGCCCTTCTTCACGATAACCCTATGGGCCCTCAAAAACCCGTAATTTCAGATCTTTATTAATCAAAAACGAAACGAAACCGCAATATTACTAAACAAATTGCGAAGCAAACGAAAAATAGCTCCGCTTAAACGGGAAAACAAGACTCGATTATCCCAGGGATAATCGGAAAAATGACCACACCGGAGTGGGAAAGAAAACCCTAATTCTTCTCTTTCTCTCTCTTTCTCTCTCTCTCTCTCTCTCTCTCTCCCCCTCTCTCTCTCACCCTCGCTCTCTCTCCCTCTCTCTCTCTCCCCCTCTCTCTCTCCCTCTCTCTCTCTCTCCCTCTCTCTCTCAATTTAGCCCCCAATGATTATATATGAAGCTTCCCTAAGTTGTTAGATCCAAATAAAGGATTAACTCCCGTATCCCAAACGTGAACAATAAACGGACTCTTCGCTTCTTCCGTATACCTGGCCGTTGTGTCATACTCTGTTTCTAAGGTCGATTTCTGTCTTTTAAGGAGGGGCGTATTTTCATCATCTTCATATTCCATAGAATTTTTTGGCATATTGCAAATAAAATTATTACTAACTCACTGCCTATCAAATCCACCACTGCACCAGTAGTCATTGACTTCTATATATGTTTTTAGTTTCACCAATGTCACTTTAATTACGCAGAATTGATAGTTAAAATAATGTTTTATTTATTATTTAGTTTTTTTTTTGTTTTTATTTTGTTTAATTTATTAATATTTATTTAATGATAAACAAAAAAACAGCGATTTAATTCAACAACTAGTAACTTTAGACATCACGATTATTTCTAACCCATTGCTTCGCGTAAGTCTCGAATCGTCTCGGTGTGAGAGGAGTGGGGCGTTCGTCCGAATATTAGTGCGCCATAAGAGAAGCACGCTAGCGCACGCAACCACTGCAAAACGGCGAAAAGTGGGGTACCGTGAGACGAAGCAAAGGTTTAAGAAAGAAATCGTGGAGAGAATATTACCGATTAATTGTTGACTTTCGTCGAAGTGAAAATTCGTTGCAAGAAATTATCAATGATGAACAATTTTTTTTTCGGGCATTGAAAATTAGTTTTTGCTCACTACACTTGAACCAACTTCAAATTAATTTCTTTGGTTCTCTCTAATATTGTTTTTCACGCTATCTCAAGGTCATTTTGGGGTGGAAATGTACGGAATTTTATGAATATTATCGGAGAATACGGAATTCCATATCGACAAAAGGGGACGTCCACATATTGATTCAACTGTAAGCATTAATGATGATGTTGGCATAATCGAACTTCATTATTCATTAATGACGATCACTAATAGTGGCTGACTAATCAGAAATGGTTTTGATATTTAAAATATCAAAGTAGATACTGTGTTACCCCCGGGCTATCCACTTGGTCAAACCTTAGGTGTTTTTAAGGTATAAATTACATAAAATCCGGAATGTTATATGCCATCCTTCGACTTTCCGAGTTGATAGCTTAGAGGTAATACAGAATATAAATATACCAGTTGAAATAACATCTTTCATTGTAATCAAAGCAGATAGTCCTCTCTTTACCCTGAATGATGCCGCCGATCTTCACGAAATTTTGGTAAATATACATTTTTTTACTTCAGCACTGGCAATCAATTCGCCTGCCATTAAATAATTGTAACATTTCCGAATTTTCCATTCATTACATCAGGATCATATCCACAATCCTAGCTTCCACGTCGATATATTCTTCTACCTATGGAGTAAAAATACACAAGGGGCTGTTGAACTCGCCAGGTTACCTCATTCAGAGGAAAGACAAGTACAGTCTAGCCAATGGTTCTCAGATTGAAACATCAGGAGTCTGTCGTACGAGAGAATGTCGAGAAGTAGCAAATTTGTATAACAAGTCAATGAACACACATGTCAGTCCATGTAACAACTTCCACAAGTACGTGTGTGATAATTGGGAAGGTAAAAATATAGACCTGGAATATGAGAAACGTGTGCGCCGAGTGGATATACTATCATGGATTGTGGAACAACATCAAAAAGGTATTGAAAGATCTCATTACATCACGTAGCTGTGTCGCCACAGCTTCTTTTTATTCATATCAGAAATTTTGTATTTGGATAAGAATATTAATTGTCCAAATTGAAAAAATCAATCATCATTTTCACCAAATTGCATTCAGATTCTTCTATATCCTTAACGTAAAAAATGTGAGATAATCTCATAATTCTAGCTACAGTAAAGGCTTCGTATAAGATATCTTAGGGACAGCAGGAGAGTAGAATTTCGGGAACCCCTATGTCCCCATTACGCGTGCGCCCATAGAGAGGAGAAAAATAGGGATCAGCGGGTTTCAAATAAGATACCTCGCTCGTTGCGTCCGAATTCAATGAAATTTTCATTTTTACTGAATAAATATCGATAACTAATCAATTTATATGTATTTAATGTTTTGAATTTGTATCGCCCGCGTTTCCTATTCTCTCTAAACATAACCCCGCGTGATAGAATGGCAGCTGATGTTGGGGGATTGTTGGTGGACTCGAAAATAATCACTGACAAAAAATTACCATTTTTCACTGGGAAAAGTGAAAAAAAAATCGATGTATATTTCTATTACTTGAAAAAAGTGGTGTGAATCCCCCTTAAAGTCATTGGACCCTCATGATCACTTCGTTCGTCCCTCCCGTTTGATCCTTAACACCGTTTGATTCTTATAATTACTCTCTTGCCGTTGAAAAATGACAGGCGCCATAGGTATAAGTGCCGAGAGTGGGGGTAGGCGCCTCGACCGCTCGGAGCGCGTGTTATCTTATAGAGAGTTATCTTATACAAGGCCTCTACCTTGTTAATTCTAATCACCTTTGTTCGAAGAAGACCTTAGTAAACGTAATATTAAGAAAGTGAAATTATTCTATTTTCCTCTGAGCTAAAGAATTTGGACAATTATGATTCGTTTGTTCATGTTTCATAGAATGATATTCAATTCTCTTTTATTTGTAAGGCGGGCTTATTGCCCATGCGTTTTTCTTTAGAAAGGATTATGAATTTTACATTTTTCAGATATGCTGTGGAGTTCGCCGAACGATAATACCGATATTATCCCCATTCAACAAGTGAAGATGTTCTTTCAATCTTGCATGGATAAGAGTTAGTCATATTTCAAATTCGTCAATTGAACACTTGATCTATTCTGTTCGAGAGAAAATTTCCAATTTTTTTCCACTTTGCGCATTGTAGAGGCTCGGGAAGCAACGGGTATACGAACTATCGCAGAAATTCTTGGAGAAACTTATGGCTGGCCTATGATTACGGACGTTAAAAACTGGAACAAAAGACTCAACAGCTGGCAGAAGATTGACGATAGTTACGTACGTTTGGGTGTCAGTTACACATTCTACACGATAGACCAATCGATAGAGGACTGGATAACTAAGGGGAGCCGCGTCATAACGGTGAGTTGTGTAAGAAACTTGATAATTATGAGGTATACACTGCAAAAAGTCCGGTCTTACAGCCGGTCTGAAACTAAGATCTCAGATCGTAAGACCGATAAATAGTCTTAAAATAAGATCGATTTGTGATCTTAACGTGAGATCTTACGCAATTTAAGATCGTTCATTGGTCTCACAAGGGGGTTAAGACCGCTTTCGGATCTTAAATTTTAAGATCTCAAATATAAGATCGGAATCCGATCTGATTCTAAGATCACTGGGTAAGTTTAAGTTCCGCGAGGTGTAAGATCGACTGCCAATGTAAGATCAATGCGCCGATTAAGATCGCTGATGTAAGACCATTTCAGAGTCTTATCAGAAATTGTACTAATTAGTTGATAAGTTGATTCATTTGTTAATTTATATCGACATATAAATTTATACAATCATTAAATTAACGGTTTATTAATTCTTTATAGTCATTAACCCAATAAACCATTAGAGGTTAGAGGCAAATAATAATATTAATTGTTGTTGATATTTTTTTCAAATTTTTGGAACTGCGCGTCGGAGGGGGAGGGGGCGAAGGGGTTGTAGAGCAAAATAATAATGATAATTATTATTGATATTTTTTTTTCCTTTTTGAAGCACAGGAGCGGAGGGGGAGGGGGCGAAAGGGTTATAGAGCCAGATAATGATATCAATTATTGTTTTCTAATTTTAGGGGTAGTGGGTTGTGGGGCAAGGGACGAAAGGGGTTAGAGCCAAATAATAATGATGATTATTATTGATATTTTTTTTCTTTTTTGGAGCGGAGGGGCAGAGAGGGATGGGGCGAGGGGGTTATAGAGCCAAATAATAATGATAATTATCACTGATATTTTTTTTCATTTTTGGAGCGGAGGGGTGGAGAGGGAGCGGGCGAAGGGATTATAGATTCAAATAATAATGATAATTATTATTGATATTTTTTGTTCTTTTTGAAGCGATGGGGCGGAGGGGGACTATGACCCTCAGATTTTGACCATTGTGACCCATAAATTCCGAACCTTAGATTTTGACCCCTATATTCAGCCACATGCGTTTGGACCGTTATGAGCCGTAGATTTGGACCCTTATATTCAGACACATGCGTTTGGACCCTTATGAGCTTGAGATTTTGACCTTTCTGACCCTTAAATTTGAAACCTTAGAATTTTACCCTTATATTGAGAAAAGTATTGTTTGACACTTATGACCCTTAAATTTTAACCCTTGCGACCCTAAAATTTTTAACTTTCGATTTTGACTTTGATATTCAGACCCTTGTATTTTGACCCTTATGACTCAGATTTTGCCCCTTGTGAACCTCAAATTCGAAGCCTTAGATTTTGACCCTCATGTTCAGATCGTTGTATTTTGACCTTATGATCCTTGGATTTTAATCCTAGTGACCCTTAAATTTTGAACCATAGATTTTGACCCTAGTGTGCAAACGCTTGTGTTAACCCTTATGACCCTTAGATTTTTACCTTTGTGACCCTTACAATCGGAACCTTGGATTTTGATCCTTATATTCAGGCCCTTGTACTTTCACCCTCATGACCCTTAGAATTTGACCATTGTGACCCTTCAATTTGAAACCTTACAATTTGACCCTTATATTCAGACAATTGTCGCTTGACTCTTATGACCATTGAATTTTGACCCTTGCGACCCTAAAATTTTGAACTTTCGATTTTGACTTTGATATTCAGACCCTTGTATTTTGAGACTTATGGTCCTTAGATTTCGACCCTTGCCACTCTTAAATTTTGAACTTTCGATTTTGACTTCGATATTCAGACCACTGTATTTTGATCCTTATTACCCTTAGAATTTGAACCGTGTGACCCTTCCATTTGAAACTTTAAAATTTGATACTCGTATTCAGACAATTGTCATTTGAATCTTATGACATTTAAATTTTGACCCTTGTGATCCTTAAAATCGAAACTTGGATTTTGACCCTTATATTCAAGCCCTTGTACTTTGATCCTCATGACCCTCAGAATTTGACACTTGTGAGCTTCAAATTTGGAGCCTTAAAATTGGACCCTTTCATTCCTATAATCGTCGTTTGACTCTTATGACCCTTAAACTTTGACCCTTGCGACCCTTATATCGCGTGAGTTGTGCCAAAAGGTCGTATAAAAATTTATTTTGATTTTCCCGAAAATTTAAATTTAAAATTTTTTGAAAATCCGTGCCAAAAGATCGTATAAACACTTTCCCAGGGAATTTGAAATCTCCATGTTTCAGGTGATTCTGGGTCATTTGAGCTCATCTTTTTGAAACAAAATTTTTGATTTTTTATACAAGGAATTCAAAAATTTTTGAATTCCGGCGAAAAGGTCGTATAAACACTTTTCCAAGGAATATGAAATCTCCACGTTTTGGATGATTCTGAGTCATCTGAGCCCAATTTTACAAGACAAATTTTTTAATTTTTTTATCCGCCATTTATCAATTTTTCGAAAATTTGAGCCAAAAGGTTGTATAAACATCCCCTCGGAGAAGAGTAAATCTTCACGTTACTGATGGTTCTGAGTCATCTGAGCGTAACTTTTCAAGAAAAATTGTTCGCTGTCAAATCTCAAAACTGACAGTCAATTCGGGGATTTGTCCAAATTGAGCCAAAAGATTGTATAAACTATTCCTGTGGGAGTAGAAAATCTCCAAGTTTCAGATGAGTGACTCATTTCGATGTAGCTTTTTCAGACATATTTTTTGGTTTACAGAGAGGGAATTGAGTTTTTTTACGAAAACAGCGTATTCACGTTTTTTGAGGGATTAATAAATATTCATGCTTAGATACGATCACTCGACTAAAATTTTTAAAAAATCTCCTAATTCTTTTCAAGCAGACCAAAAGGATGTTCCGAAAAATTAGGTTTAAATGACCGAGAAATATCTGAAACATGGAAATTTATTATTCCTTACGAAAGTATTTATTATTTATTATTCCCTATACGCCCGGTTTATCTGAATTTTCAAAAAATTAAAAAATTCCCTGTAAAAAAATTGAATAATCTGTTTCGTAAAATTGGGCTCAGATGACTCAGAATCATTCAACACGTGGAGATTTCGAATTCCCTGGAAAACTATTCATTAGACCTTTCGGCTCAAATTTCAAAAAAATTGAAAAAATCGCGCGTACAAAAATGAAAAAATTGGTCTTGTAAAATTTTACTGAGATGATTCAGAATCATCCAAAACGAGGAGATTTAAAATCCCCTGAGAAATTGTTTATACGACCTTTTGGTCCACATTTTCAAAAAATGAAAAAAAATTCCCTGTAAAAAAATGAAAAAATTCAACACATGACTCAGAATGACTCAGATGACTCAGAATAATCAAAAACGTGGAGATTTCATGTTTCCTGGGAAAGTGTTTATATGACCATTTGGCCCGAATTTTCAATAATTTTTGTCCTTGTAAAAATAGAAAATTTGGTTTCGAAAAGATAGGCTCAGATGACTCAGAATCATCTGAAAGGTGGAGATTTCATATCTCCTGAGGAAGTGTTTATACGATTTTTTGGCACAAATTTCCGAGAAAATGAAAAAGAAATGTTTATACGACCTTTTAGCACAACTCACCCGATATAAGAGTTAATATCCAAGCTTCAGAATTTAAAGGTCACAAATGTCGAATTCTAAGGGTCATAGGGGTCAAAATCTAAGAATCGTAAGGGTCAAAATACAAGGGTCTGAATACCGAAGTCAAAATCCAAAGTTAAGAATTTAAGGGTCACAAGGGTNCAAATGTCGAATTCTAAGGGTCATAGGGGTCAAAACCTAAGAATCATAAATGTCAAAATACAAGGATCTGAACATAAGGGTCGAATTTTAAGGCTTCCAATTTAAGGGTCACAAGGGTCAAAATTTGGGAGTCGTAAGGGTCAAAATAAAGAGATCTGAATATCAAACCCAAAATCGAAGATTCAAAATTGTAGGGTCGCAANCCTAAGAATCATAAATGTCAAAATACAAGGATCTGAACATAAGGGTCGAATTTTAAGGCTTCCAATTTAAGGGTCACAAGGGTCAAAATTTGGGAGTC